GGGGCCGGGGATTTAGCTCAGTGGTTGCGCCACCTGCTGTGCAAGTGCAAGGACCCGAGTTCGATCCCTGGTACCAAAAAAAAAAAAAAAAGAAAAGTTGAGGAAGAAAGGTTTATTTGACTCACAGTTTGTAGAGGTTTCAGTCCATAATCAGCTGGCTCCAAGGAAGGGTGGCATGGCAGACAGGCATCACAGAGGAGAAACAATTCATGTGGGAAGAAGGTAGCAAAGCAAACAAAAAGGAACCTTAGCAGCTTTTTTTCTGCCCCTTTTATATTTTATATAGGCTACTGAGTAGTGCCAATCAATCAGTGGACTGATTTAGTAATCACCCACCCTTAATCCTAGCACCCTTAATCCTAACATTGCACCATGGATCAATCACACACCGTAGATTCGGCCATCTCTGAAAAAGCCCCACCTATGACTACATGAGGCTTTGAGGGACATCTAGACACAAACTGTAGCATTTCGTGCCTGCCCTCCCCAAAGACTCATTCCTTTACAAAAAAAGGGCATCTAGTCCATCTCTAAGAGTTTCCAAGGTCTTAACAGTTTCAGCATTACTGAAAATCTAAGTCCCAAACCTCCTCTGAAATTTAAGGCAAACCCTTAGCTGTGAGCCCCTGTACAAATGAAAAGAAAGTTAAACACTTCCAACACTCAATGGAACAAGATAGACATTACCATTTCAGAAGGTACAAGTAGGAGGATACAAAGGAATGGGACAAAAGCAAATCCAAAATCCAGCAGGCCAAACATTTAGTCCTGTAGGTCCATGTACAGCATCCGAGGCAATTTTTAGCAAGACTTGAATTCCAAAGGGCATGGGTTGCTCTGCTCCTATGGCACTTCTGGTGATGGGACCTCCCATGGCTTCTCTCTTGGTCCAACTCTGCTCCCACATCACAGTTTTTCTCAGATGGTCTATGTTCCTGGCTTCTCCAAACTTCTGGAGTCTCCACTGAACCTTCAAGTTCACACTCAGCTTCACACACTGTCCTCTCAGGGGCACATTGTCTGGCCTCCCAGGCCTTCTTCTAAAATCTGGGTGGAAGCCTTCCTGACCCCACAACTCTCATTCTATATGCGCCTAAAACCAGCTCCACATGGATGATGCCCAGGTCTGCTGCCAGCTGGTGCAGTACCCAGGCTTTCTTCCCTCTTGGCTATAAAGGTCAAGTGCCTGGATCCCTGATCACTCTGAACCCAATCCTAAGGAACAAATTCTTTATGCCACCACCATTATAGAACATGGTGCTCAGGGGCTCTCTTCTCAGAGCAAAGTCTTTCACCTTTGTCACTCTGACGCTGCAAAGGCTGGAGTCCTGTTGGTTCTTGTGATGCCTTCAGGCCATCATTTCTGTTGTCTTCTTCTGAAATACTTGGCTTTTTCTTTCTAGTCTTTTCAGTAACCAATTTTTCTTCTGTTCCATCTTTGCAGGCCATAACTTTAATGGATCTTCCTTTGTGCCCAAACTCACAATGTTTGACTCATTCTGCTGGGCTCTTTGCTCTTGATTCTCAACATAAATCTGGCCAGAAGCCCTCAACAATAGCCATGATGCCACCTCAACATTAGACTGCCTTGAAATTTCTTGGGCAAGATTAGTCTGCTCCCCTTAATCTCAGCTTGAGGCAAAGTCTCTGGACATGAGAAAAATGCAGGCAAACTTTCTACTAAGCCATAACACATATTATCTGAAGTCCAACAGCCAATGCAGTCCTTCTTCCCAGCAGAAACCTCCTGAGCTTGGTCTTTATCAACATCATTTCTATTAGCGTCCTGGTTTTCTGAGCTCTGATCAAAATCTCCCATCAAGTACAGCCTAAGGTATTCCAGCTCTACTTTTTGGGCTGGCATCTCCAAACCTTTCCAAACTCTTCCCACAAGCCAGTTTCAGAGGCTCCTGAATCACATAGTCAGGTATAGTCACAGCAACAACTCTCACTCATTACCAAATTCTGTCTTAGTTACTTTCTTTGTTACTGAGACACAAAATACCAGAAACCCAAAATTAAAGAATGAATTTATTTGGCTCACAATTTGTAGAGGTTTCAGTCCATATTAGGCTGGATCCAAGCAAGGGTGGCATGGCAGACAGACATCACAGAGGAGAAACAATTCATGGTGAGCAGAAGGTACCTAGTAAGCAAGGGGTCTTAACAGCTTCTTTCTGCCCCTTTTATATTCTATCTAGGCTACTTAGATTATGGTGGCACCAAACCAATCAGTGAACTAATTTAGTAACCACACACCCATAATCCCACCCATAATCATACACTCTAGATTCAGCCACTTCTGAAAAAGCCCTACCTATGACCACATGACACTTTGGGAGGACATCTAGACACAAACCATAATAAAAGCATGAGGGTAGGCACACACAGCAGATGGTTTGCCTGCATTTTATCCCTAATGTATGTTATTATCACTGGGGCTGCTCTATTGGTGGGAGCATGGCCTTACAATCTAACCTGATTGGCTAGTTTAATGAGATCATGCTTGCTAGACAGAATAGATCCTGTGACTCAGGAATCTCTTTGTTACACACAAAATTTATGGCAGGTGGACCAGCACGTGGCCTTTTATCCTAAGTTGTCTCTCTAAGGAATGGTGAAAGATGCACATGTACATTTTACAAAAATGGGATTTTATAGAAAAATAAAGATTCATATAAAATGGAATTATCCTAAATATACCCTTTGACAGAATAGACATCTCACATCTCAAACAAAGAATTGGATGATACAAGCCCAAAAGGATGCCAAAAGTTTATTTGAAAAGTGAGGAGTAAATGAGTATGGGAGAAACCAGCTCTGCAGAGTGAACTTGGGCAGAATAAGAGAGACAGAAAAAAGCAAAAAGTCTGAGGAGTCATGATAGCAGGCTCCTCATGGAGTCTCATCTCTTTTATGCCATCCACATCTCATGGGAACCTGCAAGAAGTTCTACATATGAGATCCTGGTGTTGTCCTGGGATCTTGTAATTGACAGGTCCTGCCCAGTTCTTCAGCCAGTCCAGCCATGCCTACCACCTATATCAAAATCTTGTTTGCTGAAAATAGATTTTTATCTCCACTTCTTAATTAGACAAAATGAAGAAATTTAACTACAAATGGCTTGCTTATTTTATTTTTCTTAGTGGTTTCTCTTTTCATAGTAGAGGCCTTAAGCAGAGCCAGGATAGATGTGTAATCTTCTGACCAGTTGTGTTGAAACTTGAATACAATAAAAAGTGTCTTAAAATCTAAGGCAAGAGCCTTTAAATTGACTAAGACCTACAATAAGCTAGAGCGGAAGAAAAGTGGCTTCCAGAAATTCAAATTCAGAATAACTAGCCAAACAACCTCCTTTGAGATGTGTATTTCTTACCTATAGACAACCAGGAATCCTACCTTCAGATATCCAAATGTATAATTAAGTTCTGCTTAGTACTGTATAAAGTAACACCATGCCAATCATTTAACTTTATTTAAAAGTTGGTAAATGATAAATTTAGATATTTTTATGAGGACCTTGTGTTTTCAAGGCAGGCAGTGGCACCACTGAGCTAAATCCCCGGCCCCCAATTAGCTGATTTTAAAAAGCTTCAGGATCTCTGATCATTAGAAAAATACAAATTAAAACAACACAGAGATTCTGGGTTTTTTTTTTTGGTACCAGGGATCAAACTCGGAACCTTGCGCTTGCGCGGCACGCGGTGGAACTACTGAGCTAAATCCCCGGCCCTTGTTTTGTTTTCTTATTTTTTGGTTTATTGCTGTTCTTAAAAGAAAGTTTTATAAATTATTTAAAACAATTTCTAAATATAACATAGTTGTATAGAAATATTAAAATGTATTTTGGTCTTTGATTTTAAACTGTATCTCCTTTATTTTCCTCTTCTATTTGAGACCCAATGTTGATTTTTGCTCTTTTTTTTTGTATTAAATTCTTTTATTGGTACATTGCAGGTATACAACACAATTACATTTCTCATTGGGAACTGTACCTTTACATAATGCATCTTGGTTCTTATTTTTTCCCCATTCCTAGCCCTCCATTCACACCCTCCACCCTTCCCTATTTACAAAGACTTTATTTCCATTTTTTCCACTTCTCGTCATTTTTTCCTTTCCCTTCTTTCCTTTGATTTTTGCTCTTAATTCTCAAAGTGAGCTGGGAAGCCACGGATTCCGGCGGTTGTGTGGCGCCACCTGCTGGACAAATGGAGCAACGCGTCCGAACCAGAAGGACGATGGCGGGCTCGGTGCTGCCCCAGGCCCTGCGCGGGTGCAGAGCTCGCGGAGTGACAGATCTCCCCAGGCGGGTGTTAGTCGCACTGGAATCCGTACAGGGGGCAGTTGAGTAGCCCTGGGCACGGCGTCAGGCCTCTGCTGTGCCTCTGGCTCTGGGGTTCGTCCGGGGGGCCGGGCTAGCCTGAGACCTTGGACAGCTGTGGCCCTCCTGAGCTTGACTTTTGCAGTCTAAAGACAAGCAGAACAGCGCCGCTGGCTCCTGCGCACCCAGGGAACACATTTGCACACTGCGCAGGCCGAGCGCGCTTCCGTCCCGCTCCCTTTGACCTCCTGGAGAGGGCGCCTCAGCCGGCAGCGATCGCTCTCTGCACAGACCGGGCTGGGCGGACCGAGGTGAGGCCGGGACAGGACAGTGTCCCCACGCCGGCGAGGACCACGAAGAGGTGTGCACGCAGCCCTCTGCTGCTCAGCTCCTCCTATCCCGAGCTCCTGCTTTCATAAACTGAACCAGAACAAAATTGATTTACACACAGACCACCCAGCAAGTGTAAGCTAACAAACGTTGCTTTAAAACGTGGTCTGTCATTTCAAAACGATACTGTTTTATTCTTGGAAAATAGAGGTCAATATATTAAAAAACAATAACGAGATATTGTAGAATCACATCTCTTGAGTAGATTCCAAATCACTAAGATAAAAAGCAAAGAAACTATTTCAAATTAACAAAAGAAAAAAATAAAAATAGCAGGAAAGTATAAGAATGAGAGGGGAAAAATACTCTGATACAAATTTGGAAAAAGCATGACGCGTGAATAAGTTAAACAGTTACTAGATTGCGAAGTTTTAAATAATCGTTTAAAAAATAAAAATGTCTCCTGAATTATTATTAGAAACCCACACAAAATAAAGCTAAAAATAAAAAAGAGAAAAATATATCAGGGGCAAAATATTTTTTAAAAGATGTGTGGTGAACTAATAGTCAACTTGGAAGCAGCCGAACTGAGTCAGTGTGCCTCTGGGTTGGAAGACCCACCTGAGGATTGTTGCCAGTGCGTAGAAGGAGAACTGGAGGGGAATACTGTATACTGTTGATTTTTCTGGAGAAGCTTTCCGTGGCTGGTTTTCCTGATACGAACTCAGCTGTTATCATCTGAGGAGCTCGGGTCCTCACCCTGAGCATCACGTCAGGGCTCCAGTGCAGATCCCTCAGCCTGGTCGCATAGACCCTTCACCTCACGGTGCAGACTTTCTGGCTTCCACGACTGGCCGTTGGGCCTTCCTGATGCAGATCCTCGATACGGACTTGCATGAGACACTGCCGTGGACTCTAGAGCTCTGGCTGGACTCGAGGGGGACACTGCTGTGGGATCCAGGCCCTCAGCTGTATTCTTTAGGTCTCTAGTGTGTGGACAGATCTTTTGCGCTCCTCCGTATTTGACTTTTTGGGGGAATATTATAAAATAATCCTATAAATTATGTGTCCTGTATAAAATCTATTTCTTTGCAAACCCTGACTGCAAGGTGGTAAGTGGTATTAAAACTATCTGACAAAGTGATATAGGCTGTATGCTACGTGGACCTCCAAATAACGGAAATATTATAACTCCCAACCTGCTAGACATCTGCTGAAATGCCAAGTTTGTGTTCTCCAAAATCAAAGAATGAATTCTAGAAACAACAGAGGTTAAGAGTAGGGACTATTCATTGGGAGAAAGACAGCTCCTGCCTGAGAGGGTCAGGAGAGGACACCCCAAAAGTGGGTTGCCCACTGACCCTGCTTCTCAAGAGTGTTTTGAGCAAAGCCATAAGGGGAGGCAGGTTCAAGGTGGGACAAAACTGTAGTCAACTAATAAGATGAAAAGTATAGTCGCTTAGGTAATATTGATCCAATGGGAAAACACAAGGTGGAATGAGGTGGGGCAAAATGAGGGTCAATCAATATGATTATAAGTATAGTCACTAGATCATATTGACTAAAGGGGGATCAAATGGGGAAGCAAGTCATGTAGCAAGCATACTCGGGCCAAACAAGGATTTTGGGGAAGGAATGTGCTAAGGGAGGTTTTGGTCCCCACCCAAGGTGATTGATGCCTACTTAGAATATCAATCACTGCTGTTCATGACTAGGAAAAGTATTAAAGTATAGTAGCTCCTCTTTTTTGAATCCTGGCCTTCAGTAAATGTGCCTCATTTCTTCTGTATTGACTCCCTCAAGGGCCAGCCCTGTCTAACTGCTATCTACAACAAAAGCAGGTGATTATTGTGATAAAAAGATTATTTTAGATGGATAAGCGATATCATTCACAATGATTTAATTATCACACAATCTTATGTACAGTATTGGATAACAGAACATCAAAATACACAAAGCAGTACCTGCCCATAGTGTCAGAAATCTAAAGTTGCCAAAGGAGAAAGCTTTTGCAGTGCCAATATGATGCATGAAACTTTCTCTTATGCACAAAATTATTTAAAGTATTGTATAAAGTTACCTTTGGGCTGTTTGCACAAAGTGTATAGGAAACATCAATGAATTTCATATTTAGACTTGTGTCCCATCCCCAAGATTTTCTATCTCTTTGTCTACCTATCTCTGTTTATCTATAAAAATTCAATATCCGAATCAGTTCTGATCCCAGTTATTGTAGATATAGGACTTACTCTGTACTGTACAAAGAGGGCTTACTCACATTTTTTCTCATGTTTCTGTGGAACATTTACAGAACTTGTTAATATGCCAGATCACAAAGGGAACATTAGTGGTGGCACATACCTGTGACCCCAGCACTTGGGAGGCTGAGGCAGGAGAATCACCGGAAGGTCAAGGTCATCCTAGACTACAAAGCGAGGCCCTGTCTCAAAAAAGAAAAAAAATCAGATAACAACAAATGCTGGTGAAGAATGTAGTTTCAGTGAAGGGTCTGTGACATCAGCTTAGTACTACCTCTCCACCCTTGGATCGGATCTCCCCTCACGTTCCATCAGGTCCCCCAGTGAAGCCTGGTCACTCTGGCCTGCCCACAGGAAGAGGCTTGTCACAGGTTACAGAATCTCCAAAGTGACTTTCCATCCGCTGACCCCACCTGCTCTTGGCTGTGAATCCCCTGTGCCCAGGCTGCACTCAGAGTTGAGCCTCGGCTGTCCCCACAGTAAGACCCTGCATCAGTGGTCCCTATGCCTGTCTCGAAGGTCCTGGGTAAAGTCTTACTGTACTTTAACTAATATTATTAAATAATCTTTTCTTAACAGATGGGATCAGGTACATTGACAGGAAGGAAATATCATATGGCTTTTGTTTTTGAGTCTTAAGCATTTGATGAGATTAAAGTACTCAATATTTACAGGGAGTGGCAGCTTGAAGACCTGAAGACCACACAGTGAACCATGAATCTGCTGTCTAAAGGTTTTGAGGTTTAGCTCACTCCTGCTTCAGGCCTCAGAGAGGCCTCTTCAGAGAAGTCTTCCCTACAGGGAACCCTCTTCCCCAATCATATTCTTTCATCTCACTCTTTATACTTGAGGACATGGCTTCAATCTGCTTACAATTAATTATGCTGCTAAACAGTCATATGAATGAGAAATAAGCTATTCAAGAAAAAGATGATGAAGATTTAGGCAGGGAAAAGTGAGGTATGAAAGAGGACAGGTTCCAGGGATGCTAAGGAGATGGAATGCTACCATCTGAGAGGAGACATCTCCGATGTTGCCAGGGTTTTGGGTGAAGCGTCCATGCAGGTGATGTTGATCTTTAAGCTGACAGAGAATGTGACTGAAACATCCTTGGGCAGGAGGGATGATGAGACAGAGCTGGGGCTGTTGGGGATGACATGCCCCGAGGGATCCCAGTGGGAAGTCCAGTGGAAGTTGGCACAAGTGTGTAGCTCTGGAGAGAGGTATGGAGCTTGGAGAGGGGCATAGGGTCAGCACACACCAGGACCAGTCACAGCTTGAAGAGGAGGCTAAAGCCCGGACCAAGGGGAACACCCTGTCCACACACATGTCCAGAAGAAGGAAACAGAAAGTGGAGAGGACCTGGAGGAACACAGACAGGCAGTTACAGAGGCCAGACAGGGAAGTTTCTAGAATGCTAAGTGTGTGGGACCACATGCCACAAGGCTGAAAAAAGCCCACAGAATTTGGCTGTGAAGGGATGCCCAGGATCTTGGAAGCCAGAGTGCAGAATCCATCAAAGAAGTTTTTAAAATCCTCCCAGGCTAGTTTTTAGGTCAGTGGTGGAACATGAGTGTGAGCAAGGCCCTGGGTTCAATCTCCAGCATTACCAGAATAATAATATCCTATCACTGGTAATCACAATAATTAAATGAAAAATAAAAAGGTTGAAAACAAAGACTAAGAGACCCAACAGAAGCTCCTGGGGTATTATGAAGGCCCCCTGTAACACCTGGGTGGCAGATAGACAGTGTGTGCACATTGTGAGTACACATCAAGCTGGCTACTTGGGCTTGCTGCACATGTTTTGTATGTGCATTACACTTTGCTTCGCTCTTGTTAGTTTTGTTTGTATCTCCCCTCCCCCCTACCACCTCTACTGGAGATTGAAGCCACGTTCTTCACACTGATCTACTTTTCCTGTCTTTTTTAAGTGTTTAATTTGTATACAGGGTCTCACTAACTTGCCCATGTTGCACTAAAAAAAAGGAAATATACCCAGAAAATCATGAGAAGATGCTCCACTGTGTGGATGCCTGGCATGAATCATCACCAACAACTGCCCAAATCAGAAGCTTGCACGACATCCCAGAGAAATCTCCAAAGAGATGAAACTGGATGTACGTTGCGATAGAGGGGAGGGACAAGCAAGGACACCAGGTCTGTCCATGGTGAAATCCATTTTGGATGAAAAATCCAAAGGTTGAGCCATCACCTATTTCACAGATATGTGAAGTACTCAGCCTTGATTTACTGCCTTATGGAATATATACTCATTGGTTCTTGCTAGGCCCATGTAAGAGCCTAAATTCAACACTGCAAAAGCCAGACACATGGGAGGGAGTCTTTATGCAGAATTTAAGGAAAATTAAACAGACAGGGACAGCCATCCATCCATTGATGCCCAACACTTGTACCTTACTTATCACCTTGTCCTAAGATGATAGTGGTGGACCCAAAGATGCAACTTTTTTTTTGTATTTCCTTGGGCCCTGACTTCCAGAACATGTTTGTTTTTGAATGGGAAGATTCCTTGACCAGAGTGAAATAATAATATTGTTGGACTGTCCTCCTTCAGAAACACTATTATTCTTGGCAAAATTTAAGAGATTGGAGAGATCTTCAGTTGAAAGAGAAAGCTCTTCTCCAATAAATATGTGGTCAGAATCCTAATTGCTACAAAGACCAAAAAAGCACACATTTCTCAAGGTTTTGTGTGGTATCTGGGCTTTTAGTTGCCTTAGGGGTGAAAGAGTATGCTCTCTGACAAGAAAAACATCTGATGGGGTAGCTCTGCCCACTACCAAGTTATAGTGCTTGGATTCTGGGCATGGCAAGACTCTCTTGCAAAGAATCCTCAACTTTGAGTGCACAGGAGGTGAGCCACTCCCAGCGCCCAGGAAGAGGCTTCCGGGCTGCCGTACCACTCCTTCCCCCAACACACAGGAGGTGAACTGCTCCCAGTGCCCAGGAGGAGGCTTCTGGGCTGCCATACCACCCCCCTCAGCACACAGGAGGTGAACCGTACAGGCACCATCAACACCCCCACCCCTGTCAAAATGAGAAGACACATAAACAAGTCTCAAAACCAGACTCCCAGAGCACCTAAAGCAACCCCAAACAGAAATGGGATGGAACACTCTGATAGGCAACCACCTGGACTCCCTGAAGTGGCAACAAAAGAGGATCTGGAAAAAATAAAATTAGAAATAATTTCTCAGATAACAGCAGAGATTGTGCCCATAGTGCAAGACATGATTAATAAATCTAGAGAAGACACAGATAAAAAAATAGAGGAACTGAGGACATGATGGAATCCCAACATAGGAAACAAATGGAATCCAT